GGAAGAAAGAGGGCTAAGGTACTTGGTGGGCAACAAAATGTATGCAACATTATCCTGCTAGCAAGAGATGTAGTCAGGACACATGTACACATCCACAGGACTCAAGATATCTTTCTGCAACTCACAGCATTATATGGCACAGTACCAAGTGCAGTGGTTGGGGCTGGGGCTGGGGCTAGGGTCCAAGGCTGCTAGTGACCAGCCTGTATCGCAGTGTCGACCTCGTACATCTAAAGGGCACCTTGAGTCATCAGCTGGTGTTTCACTGAGGAACCAAGGGTTACAGACAAAGTCTACTTTTTCCTCATTCCTTTTCCCCTTGGGGCAGTCCAGTTTCAGCTTTGTGTGTGCACTTGTGTGTAGAAGCCACAGCTCCTAAGCAGTATCAGCTCACAGAGAAGCTTGCAGATCTTCCATTAGGGGTGGCTGTCTCACCACTGTCATTGTGGAAAGTTGTGCTGAATGAAGGCTCCATTACTCGGTAAAACTCAGGTTTTTTAATTTGCTGCATGACATAATATTGATCACAGATATTGTCAGCCACAGTTGCATTGACTTTCTCTAATGTTGCTGCTAACTTACTGGCAAGAGTCTAAATTAAAGAAATAGTGTTTGGCCATGATCGCAATCTGTCACTTAATTCTTTTTTTTTTTTTTTTTTTTTGTAATGGATATACTTGTGCTCTTCTGTTGTGTTTAAGGATATTCTAAACCGAGGACAGAATCTAAAGTGTTTCTCATAGAACTATTCTTAGTGTGAGTTCTGCATTTCAAAGGCTACCCACATAGGATGATCTCCCACATACCCCTCAAATACATTTCTTCCTTAGCTTTTCCTCTCTCCCTCCCTCCCCTTCTCCCTCTCTACCTTCTCGCTGGAATTCCGAAATGGTTACATGAGATTTAAGTAGCTTATCACATATATTTTACTTATTTTCTGAGAAGTATCTTGTTTCCTAAGCATTGCATAACTGCTGAAGTCTTTTTATTTTTTTGGAATGGGGTGAGGGGAAAAGTAGCCAAGTAGACAGCAGATCCTGTTGTTGAGATTTTGTTGTTGTTGTTGCTGATTCACTTTGCACAACTCCCTCAGGTAGAAAAATTTGCTTTTTTGATCTCCTAAACAGATTTTCTAATTCTGATCTAAAGGGTTTCAGGGGGTGTTAAGAGTATAAATAAGGAGTCGTTCCAAGGAAACCCAGTTTGTACCTCCTAAAAATGAAGCCAGCGGTGTATCTGCTTATGGGGCAGGAGGGAGGGAGGTGGAGTGTCAGAGAGACATGGATAGTATGTTTGGGAAACTGCTGCTAGGCCATTGTTGGGTCACTAGGATCACTGGGGCTGATCTGGGCTCCGAGGAGCTATAGGTGAGGGTGTCCTAGGGCCTGGAAACTTCCATAGAGCATGGACCTCATTGCCAGAACACAAGGGGTGCTTTCCGGGACATCCTTTTTAAGTGAAGCCACCTATGGGTAACTCAGTTTTTATGACCCACAGTGCCTGGGAAGCTGTGTAGTTACCTAAAACCTCAGTCTTACTGCTTGGGATCCATGACACAGTTGAAGTGCAGAGCATGATACAAAATATGTCTTTCATTTCTTTTGAGTTCATTTTGGGCCAAATTGAGTCAGTCTTACAAAGATGTTTAGAAATCTCTCTTTCTCTCATTTTCTACCCTTAACCTTGCCATCCTTGTAACTGCTTCCCTCCTGCAGGTGCCCCCAGTGGGTAAATCCAGGGAGGTTTCATCCTGGGATTGTGACAGAAGATTTTTATAGCCCTTTCTATGTATCTCTTTAGGCATTTTGACTCTTTAAGGAAACAAATTTACACAATTAATAAACCCTTCCATTGCTACTATTAATAACATCATAAATGCCTGGGATGTGTACCAGAACCTGGGAAGGATGTGGAGGAAACAGGCTGGGGAGAGGATGGTTATTGGGTACAGGGGCCCTGTTGGGAATGAGGAATGTCTGCTAACATTCTACAGCACAGTAGGATAACTATGGTCGGCAACAATTAAACATTTCAAAGAACTGGCAGAGTTGTTTTTTTTTTTTTTTTTTTTTTTTTTTTTTTTTTGGCCTAGTAGAGATCCTGAATGTATCCAACACAAGGAAACAACAACAGTCTGAGAAAATAGGCCAGTTAACTTGATCATCGATCATCACACATTGCATACACATATTGATATGTCACACTGTACCCCATAAATATGTGCAATTACTGTGTGTCAGTTAAAATAGAAATGGACTTTGATAGAATATAGAACTTTTTCAAACTTGTATGTGTATGTGTATATATATGCACACACTTGTGTATACCTATGATACTTGTTATGATGCAAGTCTCCCTCAATATCAGAAATGAAAGGTAGGGAAGAACAAGGCAGGCAATGGGATGGGGAACCCTGTCTTGCCACATGCCATAGAGGTCCATGGGCCTGAACCCTGGGCAGCCTTGGGGCAGTATCCAGTTGTTTTGAGACCTGTGGGGGCAGAGATAGAGGGGCTGACACGTACAGGAAGTCTATGAGAGGTGCTGAGACCTGCTGTGTGAAGTGGCAGCATGTGTGGGCTCTGCTCTGTGGGCAGGGTATGGGCAGCATCCTCCGTTCTTCATCTTTGTATCATGAGGGCTCCTCTCTAGCTGCTTAGACAAGCTAAACTCTTGTCTTTAGTGGGTGTCCTTTCTGCCTTTTAACATGCTTGGGTTTTCTTTCTGTGGATGGTCATCAGTATGTGTATTAAGGAACAGACCCATTGTGCCTTATTTTCAAAGAGTCATTTATAAACTGTAAACTTGTGAGGAGTATAAATACGACCAGAGGCTAAAATGCTTCAGGACCTTCTAATAAATGTACTATGTTACTTTTCATGGCAGCAATATTATTTTAAATACAAATTCTATGGAGAGTGAATATGAGGATTTATTAGTTAATATCTATAAATCCATTTAAGCTGTTCAGATAAATGGATAATCTAAATAGTTACGGTTAGGAAGATGGAACAAACTTGAAGCTTAGAGACATAAAACCTACATCCTTTGGCTTTTTCCTCAATATTCTGCCAGCAAACACCAGCTCATCTGAAATTTTGACCTTCAAGATTTCAAAGGAAGAAACTGAGATGAATGTGAGCAGGAGGTACACGTCTCTTAAAATTTTTCTTTAACTTAACACCCAAAACACACACAAAAAATATGGCCATTTACTTGATGGCCATGCAAAGAAGTGTGTACTTTTCCTTAGGAGGTGGGATGCTGGGGTTGGGAGTGAAGGTTCTGCAGCCAGATTCCCTGTTTTGGTATTCCGGTTCTGCCACTTGCCAGCGGTGGGGGGTGGGTAGCGGGGGTGAGGTCTTCAGCGGGTCACTTAACCTCTCTGTGCTTTGTTTCCATCCTTTAGTGGCTTGGGAATCTGTATGGCAATGTGCCAAACAGCATGCATATTTTATACCAACCATGTTGTTGATTATGAGTGCATAACGTGCAAAGTGTGGAAGCAGGGCATTTTTTTTTAAATCAAAATTCTTATCTGCAAACCAGCCTCAACCACTCTGCCTGGTCTCCATATCATTCTCTAGGAAACCAGCAGCTGCTTCCAGAATGGAAAGGAGGTTGGAGCTTGCCCAGCTTGGGAAAGGGGCCTGAGTTGGGGATGCTGTGGAAGCAGGCAGCAGGGGCTAGGCCCAGGTCACTTTCTCCCACCAGGGAACTATTCTGGTCCTCACCATTGCCTGCAACTGGGATGCACTTGACCCCTGCAAACATTCCCTTCTATTCTGTCAGCTCCCAAGCCCCAGAGTCTTGCAGTCAAGGACTTTTCTGGCATAGTTCTTCCTGCTTTCCTCTCCACATTGTATCAGGGTGGGTACAAATGTATCTTACCCCCTAGGTTTCCATAACAGGAGGTGGCAATGGAATGCAGGTACTGGGATCTGTCCTGTTGCCACAATTACCTAAAATGGAGAGTTCTACCAGTAGGAGATTGTGATGCTCAGCATGGAGATGTGTGGACTTTGGACAGTCCAACAACGACGACGACGACGACGACGACGAAGAAGAAGAAGAAGAAAAGAATCACAAATCTCTGCTGAACTTGAAGACTTCAAATTTTCCTCAATAGCCTTTCCTGCAGCAGTGGAGCACTGGTCAGTGCTTAGCAATTAGCTCTCTGGTCCTGAGTTGTAACAGTTGTCCATTTGCTCTGGCAAACACTTGTCCCTGGCCAATTTCCAGCTCACACCAGTACATCACTGAAGCCAGTAGGGAAGAGCTGTGCAGCAACATGCCATTAGATAACATTGCCACTACCCAGGACAGCAGGCCTATATGAACTCAAGGGTGAAGATACAGAGAAATATAGGAAAACAATTGGGACATGATAGGTGTTGAGTATGTATTACCTTTGTTGTTCACATTATTTTATTGTACATTTGTAGAATTTAATTTTAAATAACAACTGTACTTTAACAACCACCTTGCAAAATTTGACAATCAGCTCTTTGAGTTAGGATGAGCCAATTCCAGCAAAACCACTGCCAGTGGATCAATATGTTAGAGAGAGACAGAAGTATTCCCTTTCTATAAAGATTTATTTATTTATTTGAAAGGCAGAGTTACAGAGACAGAGAAGGGGAAAGAGAGAGAAATAGAGAGAAAGTGAGAGCATGATTTTTCTACCTGCTGGTTCACTTCTCAAATGGCTCAATGGCCAAGGCTGTGCCAGCAGAAGCCAGGAGCCAGGAGTTTCTTCTGGGTCTCCCACGTGGGTGCAGTGGCTCATCTTCCTCTGGTCTCCCAGGCACATTAGCAGGGAGCTAAATGGGAAATGGAGCAGCTGGGACTTGAATTGGTGCCCATATGGGATGCTGGCACAGCAGGTGGAGGCTTAACTTTCTATACCACAGTGCCAGCCCTTGAGAAGTATTCCTTATACAGTGAAGATGTGTGGTGGCTGTAATATTAGGGACCCTTAGTGATAGAATAAAAAATATTATCTCACATTTATGTACAAAAACACATTCTTATTCTGACTCATGTTTGGTCCTTCCAACAAATCCAGGGGAAGGATAAATGAGGCATGTTACAGGTGAGGGGACACTCACCGAGAAAAAGTGACTATGGCAGGTGGAGCTGAGACTAGAACTGAGTCCTCGCACCTTGCAGCTCCCCACTTTTCTCATGCCCTCCTGTCTCTTTGGGCTCCCTGCCTCACGGGCACTACCACTTAGAGCAGGCAGCCCATTACATTATCTGGGATGTGTTTTTCAGGCATCATCCCCAAATTCAGCCCAGGACGCTCTCATGTATCTTCACACACAGAGTGACATCTAGCCAGAGGCTCACAACCCGGACAACAACAACCTCTCTCTGGCTCTACCTCTCTCTATAACTGTGTCTTTCAAATAAATAAAGTAAATCTTAACAAAAAGAGAGGGAGAGAGATGGTATGTGACTTCTGAAGTTAGTTGGAAAGGGCACTGCCGTATCTGCCAGGTGCTCTTGAAACTCTTCCTAAGGGAAGCCAGCTGCTGTGTTGTGAGCACCCAAGTGGCCCTGTGGAAAGCTCCCACCAAAAAGAACCGAGGCCTCCCACTGACAACCAGCACTACTAACCAGTGTGAGTATTCCTTCTTAGAGGCGGACCCTCCAGGAGCTGGCGTTCACCCCAGCGGTTAGGTGCTGAGCGTGATGTCTGCCTGCCATGCTGGAATGCCTGGGTCAGAGTCCCTGGATCCACTCTGAATTCCAGCTTCCTGCTAATGTGCACCTCTGGGAGGCAGAAAGTGATGTCTCAAGTACTCGGATTCCTGCCACCCACATGGGAGACTTGGTTTGTGTTCTTAGCTCCTGGCTTCAGCCTGGAATTTGGGGAGGGAACTGCCAGATGAGAAGTCACTCCGTTGCCAACTTTCAGGGAAGAGAAAAAAAAAAAAAAAAAACAGAGAAAGTAGAAACAAGCGGCTTCTTCAGTACCAGACAAACCTGCAGAGACTGTGTCCCGGCTGACATCTGACCTACCCTCTTGAGAAATATCACGCAACAAGAACCCAGCGAAGTGCCCCCAAATTCTCGACTCACATACACTTCAAGAAATAATGTTCATGCTGGGTTCAGCCACTGAGTTTTGGGAAAATTTGTTCCACAGCAATCCATAACTGCATGTCTTTCCAAGCTGCGCCATATGGGCTATGGGTGATGTCAATACAATAAAGAATGTTAGGGGCTTCAAGGAACAGGTTGAGTGGATTTTGTTTTCTTTTCATCAAGGAGATTGAATTTCAAGCCAGCGTTGGAAAACTTTGTACAATATAACTTTTGAAATGCCTTTTCGTCTTAATGCTTTTCTTACTGACCTGTGGCCCCAGCGCCTCTGCAGCTTGAACTGGAGTACAGGCACCAATCAGTCACCGCAGGCACAGCCCTTCAGGCCCCGTAGTCAGGGTCATCTTTAATTCTTTCGGATCTCTAGGTCACTGTGTCACCTGCTCTTTCAGAAAGCCGGGGCAAGGGAGAAATAACAAAAGAAACTAATCAGGAAGGGAGGGAGTTAGGGACCTTACTGGAGGTTGGGAGTAGAAACCTGAAGATCATTTGAAGCCCCCTGGGAGCCTGTCCGGATACCTTTCTCCGATGTCCCCGCCCGCTGAAGTTCCCTGCTAGAAAAACCCTCTCGCGCCCGCCCAGTGCAGGAGAGGATCTCGGTGAAGCGGCGGCTCTCGTGTCTGCTCCGGGAGTTGGAGCCAGCACCGCACCAGCTCTTAGGCGTGCTTCCTCCGAGCCGGGGAGGCAAAGCGCTGACCCGGAGTCGACGCCCAAAGCGCGACGCCCTCACGCGGGGCCGTGGGGGAGAGGGAAGGGGGCGGGCGGGCGGCGCCCTTGGCCGGCGCCTCCAGCATGGAGTGGGAGCTCAACTTGCTGCTCTACCTGGCGCTCTTCTTCTTCCTGCTCTTCCTACTTTTTCTCCTTCTCTTCGTGGTCATCAAGCAGCTGAAGAATTCCGTGGCCAGCACCGCCGGGGCGCTCCAGCCCGGGCGCCTCTCGCTACACCGCGAGCCTTGGGGCTTCTCTCACGAGCAAGCGGTGTGACCCGCCGCTCGAGCACCAGTCCCGGCCTTGATTCTCCCTCCGTGCGGCCGTCCAGGTGCAGGGCTTGGCGGCGCTGGCAGGTGGGTTCGGATGAGAGGCACCCGCGGAGGGACCAGGGTCTGCACGCCTACCAGAGGCTCGGGGCTTGTGCACGCTCGGTGAGGGCGGGGGAGAGGGAAGGGGTGGTCAGGGACCGCATGGACACCGGCTCTGGGCTGGCTGTGTGCCCCACAGTTGACCCCGAGTTTCTCTGGGGGCGGGGAGGGACATGGATGCAGAAAAGAGAGCTCAGCCCTTGGAACTAGAGTGGCTTTGGGCTTCCACGCCCCAAAGCTCTCCTTCGCGTCCAGCTGCATGTTAGCTTGCATATTTTGGGTGGAAAACCGATGTATTCGGATAATGCAATCCAGCCACCTCCAAAAACATTGATGTCAGCCTAAATATATAAGTGATTGGACAGAGTGTGGGCTTCGGGATGCATAGCAGAAGAAACAGGGCACACTTGAAGTATTAAAAAGTTCGCAGAGAGTGACATTAAAATCTACAGTTTTTTCATGTTGTACATTTCCATGAACTTTTTGAAGACCCTTTTAATGCAAGGATTTCAAGGTTTGTTTTTTTTTTTTTGTACCCAAATAAACATCTTTTAATTCCATTTCCACGAACTTTTTGAAGTACCTTCAGCTTGCTTTAGATGTCTTTGGGCTTTGGGAGATGTAAACAGAGTCCAACTAGCTGTGCTGGGGGAGACCAGTGGCCCATTTTGGGGGGAAATCTCTTCTTCCCTTTGATCCAGTTGTGGTCACCATCCCTGATCGTGCCTGTGGGGGTACTGTGGTGGGTGGGTTTAACATCTTTAGAGTGAGTCATTTGGAAAATGCTTATAGACTGGCTAGCTGTGACCTTCTGGGTGATGACATGAAGGGCTGGAGGAAAGGAGTGTTGATGCAAAGTGTAGGAAAAAGGGGGAGGTGTTTTCAGATTGAATGATTAGAGCTTCTGCAGGAAGATTGATGGGCATGAGTACACTCACCCGTGGGCTCTCAGCATCCTCCCAGCAGTGTTCCTTTGGGAGATAACAAGTGCATCCTCTAGATGCTTTCTCCTAGGCTTCTGCTGTCTGGAGCCCAGCTGCTACGCTTGGCTGCTGCGCCTAGGACCCTGGCTGCAGTCACAGCCCGCGGATGCTGCAAGAAGGCCACGACAGTGGGAGATGCGAGCTTCTGACCAAGGGTAAATTGAGGTCACTCCTAGTTTCATGTTGCTCTCATTATGGCTAAATTTCTGAAAGTGAAGGGTCAGGGTGGGGGCAACCAGTACAATGAAGCAGAGGCTCTCTCCCACTTAGAACCAGCGTCCTTCTACTGGAACCAAAAAGCCAAACTGATTCCTAACTTATTTCAAGAATCAGTGTCCAGGCAGAAGACTCTGGAAATGAAGGTGAGATATAAACAGTGTTTGCACTTTTAGTCATAATTCTGCTCTTTTGAAAGATAGTCCAGGGGTTCTTGAAATGCAATCAATAGTGATACCCAAATCATTGTCTTCAATAAGAGTTTAGTCTTGTTAGGGTGGAATTAGTTGCCTGTGCCATAACTGTGGTATAGGAAATACTAATTTTAGACACAACAAAAATCACGGCGGCTAAAAAGGAAAATATATCATTTTGCCTAGTTGATAATGTAAAAAGTTAAGTGGAAGACAATTGTTTTGATAATTCAAAGGAAGGAAAAATTATTCTCAGGTGAATAATTATGGAGAAAGTGTTTGGCTTGTGGTAGATAATTTCCCACATTTTCTATTTCATTTTATCAAAACAGACCTATTTTTACTGGAGTAAGTAGTTTAATTATTTTATCATGAACAAATTCTCACCTCTTTCTCACTTCTTATAAGAGCTATAGTAAGATTGGATTTGAATTCCCAGAATCCACTGCCTTGGTTTTTATGGCTGTGAACAATAGTCCTCTAATTGGTTGGTATCTTTGCAGTGGCATTCTGCTGTAGGATTGTATGGCTAATAAGGACATTGAAAAGGAATGTGGGAGTAATTAAGTATTATAGCTATTTATAAGGATGAGAAATAGCCATTTCAGCTGTTTCATATTTTGTGAACAATCAGAATGTGCATTATTTTAACCACCTACTTGGCTTCTTGATTTGCAATTTTTTAACCTTCCTAGCAGTGCCCCTGGGGTACATCCAGAAGTTTAGTCCTTTGTAGATAAGAACTATAGACAACTCATGGTGAGCAGTTTATTGCCATCTCAGTACTATGCTGGTCTTTCTGGTTCTACAGACTCAGGATCCTAAGAAAGGAGTTCCTACCTGCCCTTTCTATCTTGTGTCCAGGGACATTTTGTAACCTCTTTGTAAACTAACTCATTAATTGCTAGGTTCCCATTTATCTAGAGAAAAATAAGAGAATATTTATTCTTATTACTCAGTCTCTGCTTGGAACTTGGCTCTACACTCTGGGAACCAAGACTCCTCACATTTGTTCTCAGAACAATCTGCTGGTGGTCTCCCACCTTGCCTTTGCATGTCAGAGACTCTGCTTTTGACACCTGTACATGAGCTTTCTTTTTCTGTTCATTTATGTAGTCATCATTTTTTTTCAAGACCCAGCATAGATTGACCTTCCAAATCAGAACTTCTTTTGAATTCACATTTTTGGCTACCCATATAAATTCTTGGCTTAGATCTAATCCACCCACAATGCTCTAATTTCCAGGCTTCTACATATTGGTCACTCCATCCACTGATCATAGACAACCACTACATCAAGTCTGTTTTTACAGATGAGATAAATAAGTTGAATTAGACGTTAAAGCATTGGAAAAGTCAGGAACATTTAAAATAACTGCTTTTTGTATAAGTTTAAGTTAATTATAGAAGATTCCCGTGTTTTATTTTTAATAAAGCACTTTCAGTGATTCTTCAGTAATGTTTGAAGCCAAATTGAATTTCTTTGCTATAAGGAAATGAGCCATAATTCTCTAATGTAATGTGAATATTTTATTCCAAATGTTCCTATTTTATTATTGTTTCTAAATTTCAGCTGTTATAAGTGACTTCAAATATTATTAGAACAATCTTGACTGACTGATTGCCTAACTTATCAGTGCAACACAGTTCTAGTTGGCATGATAATCATCTTCAGTTGGATGAGAATGGTGTCACATGCACACCTGCAAAGTTTAAAGTGTCTAATAAAGTGGATTCCTGTGTCTGAACTTCGATTTTAGGGCACAGCTGTAGAGGCAGGACTGATGCCATCTGGTGTGATTCTACAGAAAAGAGATAAAATTTACCCACAATGTGCCATGCACTGGCTTTTCTGGGAATGACAGGGTGCCAGGATGTTTTTGGTTCACTTGCAGGGGTGGAGACTTGGATCTAGGTGAGTAAAATATACATAATACCCCATTTTTAGTTTGACATTCCATGTTTCCAATTTTGCCTATAGTCTCAAAGTACAATAGAGTTAAATTTTAAATGGCCCAAATTTTAGACCTGGTTATTGGTTAAACCATCGAAGATAGTGGGAAAAGGTTTCTTTTTTCCCCTAAATCACACTTACCAATCTAGAGCCTTTTAGAATAATAATAACGAAGTACAAGAAAAGTATCTTCAGACTCCTGTACTTTCTTTTTAAGTTTTATAGCCACTGTGAAATATTTATGCTTATTTAAGCTAAATCCACAATTAAAACTCTAGTATCATTAAGATATCACTGTCAGGTGCCTGCTCCATAAAAGGGAAAGTTAAGAATAGAGTTATAGCACTTTGATGTAGATACTTTTGTTTGAATCAAAAAATAAATTTATTAATTCTCCATTTCCTATTTTGGCTACACAAATTAGAGTTATAGATTAAATAATGTTTGAATTAATTATCTAAGTTGTGAGCATCTTACAATACAGGGAGTGAGTTGGGTAATTAGGAAAGGCAAACCTGTGTTTAGAACAGTAATCAGGACATAATAAGCACTCAGAAAAAACTTCCTGATGAATTAAGCTAAAAAAAGCCTCTATTTTCCCTAATAGCAGCTACTTTATATAATGAGCCCAATCATTTATGCCATTTCTGGTCTGTATAAAGGGATTCTGAAAGCATGGGTGGATTCAAGTTAAAAATCTTTATACTCAATCTTTGTTTTACCTCTATGGCTGTATGAATTCAGTTGAATTTATTGAATAGGTACAGGTTCTTCAGACAAGATCTTTTTTTTTTTCCTTTCAGATGGAAATCTCAGTTTCCAGTTGGGAATCAAAATGGATTGCTATCTTGATAACAGAGTAGGAAGTTACTGGACTGAACAGCGGCTTAAGCAAATTAGAGGTTTTGTTCTTTTCTCATCAAACAGGGAGGTGGACATAACAACTGCTGGGGTTGGCCTAGCTGTTCACAGATGTCAGACTCTGAGTGTCTGGAAGCTCCCCTTGGCTTTTTCCTCTAGATTCCAGGGTGGTCCTTGAAGCTCCCTACCAGAAGGAAGAAGCCCAAAGGGAAAACAAGACATGCCAGTGTGATTATGCTTCCTTTCCAAGAGTGTTCTCAGCAGCCCAACAGCCTTTGCTTAGATCTCATTGGCCAGAATACTGTCATTGACTACTGCCATCTGCAAGATTGTCTGCGAAATGTGGTTTATGTAGCAGGACATACAACTGCCTTTGACCAAAATCCAAGTGCTCATGATAAGGAGGAAGATGGTGGTGGATTTTGGGTGGATGAACAGCAGTTTGCGTCCTGGTTAGAAAATACAGTGATAGTATCATGAAACAGATCGGCTTTGTAGCTCTTTCTCCACTGGCAAAACTCCAATCAGTGCTGCTCAGTGAAACACGTACCAGATTTTCTCGTGAAACACTTGACAGATCTGACATCTCTCTCTATCAGTCTATGCACCCTACAACAAGATTTCCTACAGGAGGCCCTGGGAACCTGCATACCTTCTTGTTGGACATCATCTCTTTATGGAGGTTTGGTGTAGGGTAAACGTTGTTCCACTTTGTTGCTTCATTTGTCTTCTCCTTAACCTTCTTGACAATTCAATTTTGGTGGAATCTAGGTTTGGATATTTGATTCTTGTAAAAGACCAGCCCTTTCCTATAGAGGAAGGTAATCTATGCAAAGAAAGGCTATGTTACTGCCTTCTGTGACTCCACCACCAACCCAGGAATATCCTGGGAGGAGAATTGCCTCTCAAAGCTGCTTCCACAAGCAGCCTACATCCTGGCTAAGCAAAGGCAGAAGAAACACTTCCCACATCTAGAGCTATCCAAAAGAAATTTCTGTGATGGTAGAAATTTTCTTTATCTGCAGTATGCAATACAGTAGCTACTAGTCACATGTGACTAGTGAACCCTTGAAATGTAGCTAGTGTGGAAGTGAAACTTGAGTTTTATTTAATTTTAACTCATTTGAGTTTAAGTAGCCACATGAGGCAAGTGGCTATTGTATCAGAAAGTACAGTACTACAGTATGCGTCCTTCTCCTTCTTGGGTTTTAGAACCATTAGGAGAGATATGGACAAGTCACGTGCTTAATTTCCTATGGTCTTTGCTAGTCTACCTTATTATTGAACTTACCTCTTAGACAAACGGGAACATTGATATCCAAGGTGTTAGCTTGATATCTATCCATATATACATAACACTTTGCACATATTGCTGTAATAAATGGAATAGTCTCCTGGGTATAAGTTTTGTGATTGATTTTAGTGATACACGTGCTCCTGTATGTCATAAAGGGTAATATCTGGATAAACTCACAGTAAGTTGAAAATATCATTAGTTACAAATACATTTTCTGCACTTACCTACTATACATCATAGCACAGCAACACAGTACAACCGGAGTACATGATACAACCGGGGTTGTATACCTTATTGATGGTGTGGTTGACTGTGCACAGGGCTACCTGGTGTCATGAGAAAGCATCATATCAACACATTGCCAGCCAGGGGTAAGATCAAAATTTGAAATTCAAAGTATGGTTTTTACTGAATGTGAAGCACTTTTGCACCCTCGTGAAATGAAAAAAATCATACATTGAATCATAAGTTGAAAGCTGCCTGTAGTTGATAATGGAAAAGTGGAGTGCTGGTTCATGTCACCTTCCTATGTCCATTATGTGTTCCCATTCAGAGTGATTTGGCATGGATGCTTTCATTCTGTTGTGTGATTGGTTCATCCTGTATTATTGTATTTTTGTAAGACTGTGGCTGCTAAATAATAACTGTGAGTATGTTTTTCAAAATATTTAGTGATTTATATTTTTGAAAGGCTATGAAATAAAAAGCAGTTATATGTAACTCAGGTGTGTGTGTGTGTGCTTTGGTGAACTATTATTACTCAAACTTTGGTAAGAGTTAGTGAAGATAAGATTAATGTATAGGAGGAAATATTTATTTTTATATCATACTTCATTTTTAATGGGAAAATCTATGTGCCAATTAGCAGTATCTTTTAAAGTCTATTAAATGATTCTTCCATTAGATTCAGAATTGGGGTAAAGTGTGAGGGTGTTAGTGGTATTGGATTAGCTCTCCTCTCAGGTAACTGGGTTTTCCACTCTGAGCGTCATGTGAGCTTTGTTTCTATACAAATTCTCTTTTTTTCTTTTAAAGTTTTATTTTATTTACATGAGAGACAGTGACAAAGAGGGAGACAGAGAGAGAAAAGATCTTGCATTCACTGATTCAATCCCCAAATGGCTACAATGGCAAGGACCGGGTCAGGCTGAAGCCAGGAGCCTGGAACTCCATTTGGGTCTTGACCGTGGGTAGCAGGGGCCCAAGATTTGGGCCATCTCCTGATGCCTTCCCAGATGCATTAGCAGGGAACTGGGTTGGAAACCAAGCAGCTAGGACTTGAACTTGAGCTCTGATATGGAATGCTGGTGTGGCAGATTGTGACTTAACCCACTGTGCCATGACTTCAGTCCTGAATTCCCTGTTCTGAGTTATTTGTCTTTTATTATGGAGTTGTAGGAATTCTGGCTATCCCCTAGATACCATTTCTTTCTCAGATATATACTTTGCAAGTATTTTCTCCCAGTGTGTGGATAGTTCATTCATTTTCTTAACAATGTCTTTACCTTTGAAGCTTGATTTATCAACTTCTTTATTTCGTGTTCATGGTTTTCTGTATCCTCAGTAAGAGGTTTTTACTTCCCATAGGTCATCAAAAATATTCTGCTGTGCTTTCTTCTAAACTAGCAGCTTTATGGTTAACTTTTACTAGATCTGTTATACATCTTGAATTAAATTTTATGTACCACCTGGAATAAAGATAGAAGGTTTTATGTAATTTTTCCCCATTTGTTGAGAAGACTTTCCGTTGGATCACTTTGGCATTTCTGTCAAAGTCAAATGACTTTACAAGTGTGGATCAATTTCTAAGTTCTCTATTCTGTTCCAGAGGGATAGAGGGCGTCTTTATGCCATTCCCACACTGTCCTGGTGAGTGTAGTTTTATATCAAGTCTTATAAGATGCTATGAATCGAAACTTTTATAATAAACTATTTTTTTGACAGGCAGAATTAGAGAGAGAGAGAGAAACAGAGAGAAAGGTCTTTCTTCTGTTAGTTCACCCCCCCAAATGGCCGCTATGGCCAGCATGCTGCGCCAATCCAAAGCCAAGAGCCAGACGCTTCCTCCTGGTCTCCTATGCGGGTTCAGGGCCCAAGGACTTGGGCCGTCCTCCACTGCCTTCCTGGGCCACAGCAGAGAGCTGGACTGGAAGAAGGGCAACCGGGACTGGTACCTGGCACCCCAACCAGGACTAGAACCCAGCGTGCCGGCACCGCAGGTGGAGGATTAGCCAAGTGAGCCATGGCGCCAGCCCCATAGTAAACTCTTCAAAGACTGAGTCCACACTCACTGAGAATTTTGGTAATTTCAGCTGGAAATGATTAAATTCAACAAGAAAATCTCATTTCACAAGATATCTCTTTTATTAGTGCTCTGTCCATAGTCTGTGTCCAGATTTGGGATATAATAGCATTTGGTCAGGAGGGACTATTTCATGTTCCTCCATGACAAGGAGGAAATGTCCTTTTCTGTTACTAAAGTTGGAGGAAATCTCTACTTTTTAAAAGGGACATGTTACTAGAAAGCTGAAGTGATACAAAACAAAACAAAAACTGCATGAGGCCCACTAATCTCAGACTCTTTACCAGTGTGAGTCTAGCTACAGATTGGACTGCCTGGCTCCAAGACTGGACATTTTGACTATTCCCCTTCATCTCACTTGAGTGGATGGATACTGGATCACGTTTTTCAGAAGTGTATCTGAAAGTGGTTTGATTGTCACCAAATCATGTCTTGAGCCTCATTTTTACTTGCATGCAGCTTCCTAAACATACTGATTCTTATCCTTTACACATCTTAGCTTGGAACTCAAGTCTTGTCCCATAGTGGAAAAGTTAGGGGTCTCCTCCATCACCCACTCTTGTAACCTCATTTTGTCCTCAGAGTTAACTGCTGCAGCAGTTTGGTAGATATCTTCTGATGGGAGGTTCTGTGCATTTACCATGCCTAGTTGCATAGTCTCATTTATTTGAATTTGCAAGTACATATGCAAATTATTTTTTTCTTTTTAATATGGATGCCACTGAGCTATAATTGTTATACAGCTTTCTTCTCTAATACGTTGTTTTATTTTACAAAAGATGTCCACAGCAATATCTCCCATATTACATGCTCTTGCAGTGTGACCTTGACATTTTGACAATTAGAAGTGAGGTCTCCATCTTCTCCCCTTGCATCTGGACAGGCTCACAATAGAATGAGGCACCAGTGACAATGTATGACATATGAGGCTGCATCAGGAAAGGGAATGCGTTTCTTCACGGTTGGGTGGAATACTCATCATGGAAGACTGTTAAGATCCTGAGGCTGTTTTCATTCCTCTGAGGAAGTCTAGGCAGAGGAAAAGGCCTCATGGAGGTACTCAGCTAGGAGCCCCAGTGGAGGCCAGAGCTGGCAGAGCCCACCTCCAGCTGAGGAGTTGTCCTAGACCCAGGTCCAGACATAGTGAAGCCATGAAGCTAGTCTCACTTTGGCCTCTCTGAATCCAGGTTTTTGTTTTGTCACTAAATTTGAGATTGTTTGTTATAACAATAGTAACTGGAGTATATGTCCCTAAAAGTAATGATAAAAGAATCATTTTTATTAAACTATTGTAAAGTGCCCTCAGGCATTTATTTAACAAGTGTATATTCTTGATGGGCACTAAGTTTATTGTCTTTTTTTACGAGTTGTATTCATAGAAGTATTATTGCTGGTTTAGAAAGCTCAAGAACTGGTAGATGCCAACAATCTTTTTCCTAAATGACTATGTTAGTATTTATCCATCTGTCAGTATATAACCATCCTCTTCCCTGCACCTAAGTTTTGGAAATTATGAAGAAAGCTGCTGTAAACCTTCTCATGCAGGTTTTTGTACAGATAGAATTGTTTGACTCATTTGGGTAAAAAACAAGAGTATGATTGCTGAATCATATGGTAAGAGGATGTTTAGTTTTTTTTCAATGTATTCTTTCTCACACTTAAAGTGATTATTAATTTAAAAAAAAACTTTAATTTTATTTTTGAAACACAGACACACACAGACACACAGACAGACACACACACACACACCGAGAGAGAGAGAGAGAGAGAGAGAGATCTTCTGTCTATTGATTCACTCTCAAAATTCCCACAACAAAAAGGTTGGGCCAGGCCAAAACCAGGAGCACAGAACTCAATCTGCGTCTGCCATGTGGATGGCCAAGACCCAAGCAACTGACCCCTCATTTGCTACCTCCCAAGGTATATACTAGCAGGAAACTGGATTGGAAGCAGAGGAACTGGGACTTAGATGAAGCATTCTAATATAGGATCTGGCCTTTTCAAAATGGGATTTGGCCACTGCACCAAATATCCCCTGTATGTTTTGTTTTATAAGAAACTGCTAAGCTGTTTTCCAGAGTGGCTGGACAATCTGCATTCACATCAGTAATGAATGAGAGTTCCTATTGCCCTGCCTTTTCTCACCAGCATTTGGTGTTCTCAGTATTTCTAGTAGATGTGTGGTTGTACCTCATTGTTTTTATTCATAATTCTCTAAGGACGTACGATGTTGCATCCTTTCATATACCTATTTGCCATGTGTGTATCTTTGTTGGTGAGGTGTCTCTTTAGACCTTTTGCCCATTTTAAAATTGAGTTGTTTGCTTTCTTATTATGTTTTTTTTTTTTTTTTTAATTTTTGACAGGCAGAGTAGACAGTGAGAGAGAGAGAGAGAGAAAGGTCTTCCTTTTGCCGTTGGTTCACTCTCCAATGGCCGCCGCGGCCGCCGCGCTGCGGCTGGCACATCGCGCTGATCCGAAGCCAGGAGCCAGTGCTTCTCCTGGTCTCTCATGTGGGTGCAGGGCCCAAGGACTTGGGCCATCCTCCACTGCACTCCCGGATCATAGCAGAGAGCTGGCCTGGAAGAGGGGCAACCGGGACAGAATCAGGCGCCCTGACCGGGACTAGAACCTGGTGTGCCAGTGCCGCAAGGCAGAGGATTAGCCTATTGGGCCACGGCGCCGGCCTCTTATTATGAGTTTTAAGAGTTCATTGTGTATTTTGGATATTAGTCCTTTATCATGGGTGTTTTGTAGATATTCTGAGTTTGTGAGTTGTCTTTTTACTTTCATAACAATGTAATTTTAAAGAAATTCAGTTATACCAATATTTTTCTTCTCGTGGATCTTGACTTTGGGGTTGTATCTAAATTATTACATAACCCAAGGTACATAAATTTTCTCATAAGGTATCTTTTAGGGGTTTTTACAGTTTTGAATTCCTCATTTAGGTCTGTTATTTATTTTGAATTAATTTTTGTGGAAAGTGAAATTTTATTTATAAGTTCATTGTTTTCTGCATGTAGATATTCAGTTTTTCCAATATCATTTGTTGCAAAGACTCCCTGAATTTTAATACTAAAATACAATATGTCATCAGAAGCTTGTGAAAGACAAATTACACTTCAGTTTAGTGATGTTAATTGGCTTTATTTTCAATTCTAGAATGGCATAACATTTCAATTCATAAAATAGAATAAGTTTCCAATGGGCCCAGTGGAAGAGATTTGTTTTGTAGACAGAGAAAGCATGGAAAGAACGGAGACAAAGACAAACATTGGATTGGTCATTTCAAAGTTACTTTCATTGTAATGTGGAATCAGAGAGATGGAACAATAGAAAAATAACTGGTTAACAGCAGCTTTCTTCTGGTTACCTTTCTGGAAAGGAGTAAGACAGACCAATTCAAACTGGTCTGTTTGGGAATCTGGCTGTTAGCTGGTTCATCCTGTGTTTTCAGAAGTTCATACAAGCACCTTAGTTTCAGTGTGGTGACATTAAAATTTGGCATGAGTGACTCATTGATAACTTTTAGTGTGATCTGTTGGTGGTTTAAACAAAGACCTCTTGTAATTTTTATTTAACAGGGTGAACTCTGTTGTCATCTGTTCATACTTCAGTGTCCTGCTTATTAAATAGTCTTGTCTGTTTTTAGTTTCTTTGCTCAATAAAAATGATCGGCATATTCTGAGCCTAATAAATTTTAAAGCCCTTACTGACTTAGGCTACTGGTCCTTTTTACTTCTCTATTATTTTTGATTGCAAACAAGAGAAATTCAAACTCAAACATGGCATAAGCAAACAAAAAGAATTTATTGACTTACTAACTGAATGGCCCAGGTATAGATTTAGGGGAGGTACACAGAGATAGAGATTCAAAAAATATCATCGAAACATCAAAAATCCATTTTTTAAATCTTTTAGCTAAATTTTTAGATATTTAACATTCAATCATAGTTGTTAATCATCCACTTTGTCCTAGCACTGTGTTAATTGCTGGGGAAACAGTGGAAATAAGACAGGTAAGGTTAGCTTTATTGCTCATTCATCCCAACAAAAGTCTTTGAGATTCACTATGATTGGGCTGGTTCAGTCACTTGTTTGCCCTTGAACCAGTCACTTGGCTGGCAGGATGCAATGTGTTGATTGGTTTAGGTCTGGGTCATGAGCTCCATCCCTAGGACAGGGGATTGGCTTCCCTCTGGACCATCTGGACTACCTGTCCAAGTGAAAATATGGGCTGTTGTTGAGAAAAGACAGGGTGGCTGCTGGGAGACAAATGAGATATGTTCTCATCAGTTAATTTCTTTGCATTGAATGATTCAGAAAATTCTCCAAGAAACCATTTCTTTAACAATAATTTACAAGGGTTGGGATGTGTTAAGATTACCTGACAAGCTCTTACAACATACACATACCCTCGGCCTTTATGCAACAAACTTAATGTTATCCAGAATGGCACATCTGAGACACTACTTTTCCTATATGCCCTGGCCAATAAACTGAACACTGAAGCTACCAGACAGGACCTCTGGGAAGACTAATTAAAAGGCAAATGTGCCCATACCACTTTAAGTTATCTATAAATTCAATGCAATTACTACCAAAATAGTGTCATTCCTCCCAGAAAAATGAAAACGCACTCCTAAAATTTGTATGGAACCACGAAGGACCTTGTCTAGCCAAAGCAAACTTGCACAAGAAGAACAACACTGGAGACAATGTAATACCTGACTCTAAAATATACTACAAATCTATAGCAACCAAAGCAGCTCGGTACTGGCATAAAGACAGATGGATGGAAACCAGAAATAATCCATGTTTTTACAGCCAACTGATTTTCAACAAAGACAGCAAGAATATATACGAAAGAGAAAGGACAGTTTCTTCAATAATTGCTGGTGGAGAAACTGGATATCCGTATAGAGAAGAATGAAACTAGACCCCTATCTCTCACTATATACAAACAATCAACTTGAAGTGAGCCAAAGAGTTAAATGTGAGAGCTAAAAATCGTTTTTTAAAGATTTATTTATTATTTGAAAGTCAGTTACACAGAGAGAGGATAGGCAGAGAGAGAGAGAGAGAGAGAGAGACAGACAGACAGAGGTTTTCCATCTGATGGTTCACTCCCCAGTTGGCTGCCAATGGCCAGAGCTGTGCTGATCCAAAGCCAGGAGCTAGGAGCTTCTTCCGGGTCCCCAGCATGGGTGCAGGGGCTCAAGAACTGGGGCCATCTTGTACTGCTTTCCCAGGCCATAGCAGAGAGCTGGGTCAAAAGTGGAGCAGCTGGGTCTTGAACTGGTGCCATATGAGATGCCAGTGCTTCAGGCCAGGACATTAACCTGCTGTGCCACAGTGCTGGCCCAAAGAGCTAAAAATCTTACAGATCATTTCATGACATTGGTCTGAGCAAAGATTTTTTTTTGGATATTATCCCAAAAGCTCAGCAACAAAGGCAAAAGTTGACAAATTGGATTATATCAAACTAAAAAGCTTCTATAAAGCAAATGAAACATCAATAGAGTAAAGAGACAGTCTACAGAATGGGAGAAAATATTTGCAAACTATTCATCTGGCAAGGAATTAATAGCTAGAATATATAAGGAGTTCAAACAAATCAACAACAAAAACAAGCCAATTAAAAATGGGAAATGATCTTGCATTAATCAGCTTTTTATTACTTTAACTAAAACTTGAGAGAAGCATCTGAGGAAGTTTTATTCTGGCTCATGGTATGGAGGTTCACAGTCCAAGATTAGGTGGCCCCATTTGGCATCTAATGGAGACTGGCAGTGGCAGACTGTATGTAAAGGAACAGTCCCATGGTGAGTCAGGAAGCAGAGAGACACAGGGAGTGCACTCTTCATCTACCTTCTGTATGGTCTCTCTTTATAGCCATCTGTGATTCAATCACAGGCTCTACCATAGCAGCTTGATCCAACCCACTAACTTCCCAAAGGCTCCGCCTTCAGAGACTATAATTGATTCAAGCCTCCTTCCTACTCCATCAACCATTAATCCATTAATCTTTTTAGAAAAGTTTTATTTATTTATTTGAAAGAGTTACACAGAGAGAGGAGAGGGAGAGAAAGAGAGAGAAAGAAAGGTCTTCCATCTGATGGTTCACTCCCCAAATGGCCGCAATGACTGGAGCTGGGCTGATCCAAAGCCAGGAGCCAGGAGCTTCCTACACGTCTCCCACGTAGGTGCAGGGGCCCAAGGACTTGGGTCATCTTCTACTGCTTTCCCAGGTTATAGCAGAGAGCTGAATCGGAAGTGGAGCAGCCGGGTCTCAAACCAGCACCCATATGGGATGTTGGCACTTCAGGCCAGGGCATTAACCCTCTGCGCCATAGCGCCGGCCCCAATCCATTAATCTTTTTTTTTTAAAGATTTATTTATTTGAAAGACAGAGTTACAGAGAGAAGTAGAAACACAGAGAGAAGTCTTCCATCTGCCAGTTCACTCCCCAGATGACCACAACAGCCAGAGCTACACTGATCCGAAGCCAGGAGCCAGGAGCTTTCTACACATCTCCTACATGGGTGCAGGGGCCCAAGAACTTGGGCCATCTTCTACTGCTTTCCCAGGCAATAGCAGAGGGCTGGATCGGAAGAGGAGCAGCCAGGACTAGAACCAGCGCCCATACGGGATGCCGGCACTTCAGGATAGGGTTTAAACCCGCTGTGCCATAGCGCCAGCCCT